ATATATATATATATATATATATATATAATTAAATGTGTATTATATGTTTCTTTTTTATTTTAATCAATATAAGCGATCTAATTAATCTTTATTGTGTATAGAGTTAAAATATACATGGTTTAGTTCTGTGTAGAGACATGATTCAAATTTCTAATTTTATAATGCGCTAAATTAGAAATATGTAAGACGCTCCCTTTCTGATTGGACATACCTTATTTATATGACAATCTTTCAGAAAAGTTATTTTTTTAGATAAAACATTCTTTTTCAAAAAAGTTGAATTCTTTCATAGTTATAAAATATGGTTATGGTCATCAATCTAAATGATAAAGAATTTATTCTTTCTTCCTGACTTTCCATCATCAATGTAATACAAAGTTTTTTCTTTAAGGGAAAATTATATTGGATTGAAAGATTAATAACCTGAAATCGTCTTCAATGGATCAAGGTTTGCTTTTACATTCATTCTCTTTTAGTGATTTCACATCTTAAGGAATATGATTCTCTCTTCAAATTACGAACATCATCTTCATTTATACTTTTTTTTTTAGGTTGTTATACTATAATGAACAAATTTTAAAAGGGACATTCTTTCTATTTTTATCTAAAAAAAGAGGTCCTAGAAATCTAAATTTAAAACATTTCATGATCACATGGCATGTTTATTGGCAACCACTTAAATTATCATTTAATCAAACAATTTCTAGCAAAAAATCCAGGCTTTTAAAATACGAGTTATTATGATTTCATTCTAAATCACCAAAATTTTTGGCCATTTTGAGGATAATCCAAAGCCAACTAAATAAGTAGCTGGGCACAACTTCTTGGATCAAATTAGTGATATTTAATATAATCTGTCTTCAATTGATTTACATTATCTTTTATTGATCTAATAAAAAATTTTGTCAAGTATTTTTGATATAAATTATATAAAAATAGGGCTAAAATCATCTGATTTATTTTAAGATTAGTGATATAAATTATATTAGCGTCTGTATTTCACTAATATAAAAATAAATTGCATAGTTTTTATACCCATACGCATACAACTTATATTGGGATGTTCCAACACGTTTTTTTCGAACTTAAAAAGCCATTAGCTCTTTTTCGCTTTGTTCTTTATATACTACATCTATGTAATTAGCGATAGTAAGGAGATTCTGTTTAGATAATTGGTTTTTACTGAAGAAAATGTTGTTTTTAAATATTAGAATAGTTGTGGTGGTAGAGAAATGCTTTATTACCGTAGTATTATATGAAATTTTTGCGTTCTCACAAATAGTTAAATAGGCTATATATCACCGGAGAATATTTTTTATATATAATTTACCTTCTCTTATGGTCGGGAAAGGCAAACTATTATAACGTTTAACAACATAATGATGCTACGTCCATTAAACAAAAGTTTTTTTTTTCACTCTCTTATATATTATCCACAAAAAACACCTTGTCTCATACGTGCTACTTTTAACTTATTTATATGCACGCAATATCTTTGTTCAATAGATGGGCATTTTTTTTTAATTACTGCAAATGTCTCAAGAAACAATCATTAATAAGACTAAACTCAGTTTTACAAAATAAACTCAATATTTGATAGACAAAACTAACTATATAAAAGGAACTTATTTAATTTAGAAATTTTTTTCTATGTTAAATGACAGGGACTTTTGAAAGTAAATAATGATGGGAAAGTAAACATGCTAACACAAGAGGCTGAGGAGCAAAAATTTAAATTGACAGATGGCATTGATGTTTCATCTGACAGCTTGATTTACTTTACTGATGCATCTCATAAGTATAACTTAGATGAGTATGCTTTGGACTTTCTAGAAGGAAGGTCTCATAAACGGTTGATGAGTTATGATCCATTAAATAATCAAACAACGGTGCTTGCACGTGATTTATATTTTCCTAATGGCGTTGTTGTTTCTCCTAATCAAGATTCTCTCATCTTTTGTGAAACCCTTATGTAAGTAGTCATTTACATTATCCACGTTTTTTTGTAAGAAAGTATATGTTAATTTTTTGGATTATTTTTATTTAATAGAATCTTATTTTTAGTTTGGGTTAGTCACTTTATAGTCTTTCTAGTTAAGTTTAATTCTATTTTCATTACAACAAATTTTTTTAATAGTGTACTAAAAATTGTAAGAGTTGCAATTTTCCATAACTTAAATGACATAACAGAATATCTGAACTAAATTCCATTTGAATGAATTGCATAATGATAACTTATCATGCTAGACATATTATAGGAAATTCTTAATTGAATATTTTGCAGATTTATACTTTTCCTAATCTAGCTTCATTCATTGGTTAAAGCATTTAATTTGGTGCTTACACACATTTCTAATTATATTTCAATATTTGTAATCATATATTCAACTATCCATTGTGAATTGATGTGAGGATAATTATTTTCTTCTCTACAAATTTTTTTTATGGAAACAAAGATAATAACAAGATCATTCTAAGCATCACCCCCTCTTTTCTTTTAATAGCCTGCTACTACTCTATATATCTCTCTCACTCTCTTCTTCCCCCGACCCCCCCACCTCCCACCGCCCACGCACACACATCAAAATTGAACTTCCTACACTACAGAAAATTTATCGATTTTCAGCTGACTAATTCACCCAAAAACATTTATAGTAAAATCAGTATCTAGTGAATTTACAATGGGTTTTGAGCGGTCAAAATAACCCATGTTGGAAATGCATTCTGATGAAAAAAAAATTTTCATAAACCAATTTTAACAAAAAGTTGGTTGAATATTACCTGCCACTTCTAAAAGGTTTTCTTGAAGTGCTAGCCAACTCTTGGCAAATTCTCCTCCACCTCTTCTAATTTAAACACTAAAACCATCTATAACACACTTGAAATAAAACCACGCCCTTATCACCTCAACACCAACTCAAGTATCATGCCCGCACTCTCTAACTACTTGTCATAATGCTTCCAATTTTATGCTATTCTCATGGAATTTAATCGCCTTGGCATAATTAAAGACTCTCATCCAAGCCCACCAAAAATGTTTCACACGAGCAACAATATATCCAATTCAAATTATCATATACAAATTCATGAAGATGCCAACACATTTTGAGTGCCATAACAAAGTTAATTTCTCTAAATTTTTTTTTTCATTGCCTCCTACATGATGAGATGCATAACGCTTATGTCAAGTTGTCATGCGGCTAAATCGCCTAACTCAAAGACGATCTCTACCTTCTCACTGAAGGAATTGAAGACAACATCACGTACATATTACAAATCAAATTATCGCCAACTAGTTAGCCATACTTGGCCAATTGGTTGTTAAAGATGACCATGTTCTCAAAATTCTCAGGAGCCTAAATAATAAGTACAAAGATCTTTGCTTTGCAAGTTTTGAGTATCATATCAGTTGCACGTCAATTTGTGATTTTAACCAAGTTTGATTGTAATTGCAGTCCATCATTTCTCAAATACTAATCACTTCAGAGCAAATCCACAATCCCTCCTTCCACATTCAAAGTTTGCTTCTTTTTTTTCGAAGAAGTTGAGCCCAAAGGGTAATATGCACAATTTGAACCTGTGATCTCACAGTGGAAAACTAAATCCTCAACCGCTATGTGGTGATAAGTTTGAAAATTTGCTCCTCTTTCAACTCCAAATTAAAATTCACCGTATCTTGTTATATGTGAATTATTTTACCAAGAAGTCCATTTGACATATTGATGTCCTAATTTTACCTTCACACCCACCAACCCTTAGTCTCACCAAATGTATCATCTTCTAACTCATGTAGTCGCCCAATAATCAAACTGCTATGGCCACTCGTTACCCACTCTCAATGCTACCACTTCTCATCATGCCACATTTAGGGTGCGTTTGGGGCAGCTGCAGCTTAATGAACAATCTGCTGATAAGTAGATTGTCCAGAAAAGCTACTGATTTGCAGATTATCCAGATAAGCTAGCTGCCTGTTTGGCCGAGCTGTTTGAGAACATCTTGTTTACAGCTGTTTCTGAATAAAAGACCATTTTGCCCCTTGTTAAGTAATGTTGTGTGTTGTAGAGCTGTATTGGCAATATAATTACTACTACAGAAATATAAAGCAATTCATAAGAGTTTAAAAAAATAAGATACATTCCTCACTTAAGAGTGAGTATCAGGACTGCTAAAATAAAGAGAAAAATAATTATAATTACAATTAAAATTATTAAAATGTTAATTTTAACACCCTGACGACATATGTCATGAGATGCACTTTCCTTCTTGGAAACCATCCTACCCTGATCACTGTCGGCAGTGTGATGTGTCGGAATGTCCACCAATCGGATTAAGCCACACCTCTCAGAGATGCTCCTGGGGCAACCATAAAACTGTCTCCTGTAGCCTGGTGTCAGCTGAAGGAGGAAGCGACAGAGCTGTAATTAATTCTATCGGTTTATCTATTGAGATTTTCATGAAAACATCTTTTTTTTCCTCCTCTTCTCTAGTATGGGCCTCTCTCGGGTTTGTGCTAGGCCCTTCACCTGACCCCGTAACTTGATCGGGTGGCAAGTCTACTGGTATGCCTGCAAACCTCTGCTCACTTGAGTTGAACGCATATGTGCCCGTTGCGACGACGACTCTAATCATGGTGTCTGGATTCTTTTCTAGGTCTAGATCAATTCCACTGACCTTGAATTTTCTTACAGCTGGCACTGTCTGAGATGTTAGGGAAAACATATTAGTCATAAAATAAAGTAACATGGATGACAAACATAAATATTAGCTTTTAAGGGTATGCTTATTACCTCTAACTTCTCAGTTCACCATCCATCTGAAACATCAATGGTTCGCTTGATAGGATCCCATCCCAATCCCTTGGATCCCCGTTTCAGTTCCCTTCATAAATTCCAATCCTTTTTTATCTGATCCCACTTGTTCTTGAATTTTAATCTATTGTACTCCTGCCCTGTCATTTCTTTAAACTTTATAGAAATATTCTGCCACCCGTCTTTGTCAAAGTAAGTGGTAGGTCCATTTCTATGTTTAACCTCCTTAATACAGAGATTACAAAATACGTTTGTCACATCCTTTCCCACATTGCTGATGTAGCCCCTTCTTTGTTCATAGCCATAATGCAACTAATAAAAGATATGAATCAATAAATACACTAGTATTGATAGTAAACTAAAGCACCAATAGAAACATTTGAAGCATAAAACTTTGTGAACATCCAATTCCTCAGTAAGAAATACTAGCTACACTGCTTATGAAAATTATGCTTCATCTATATGTACATAAATTTATGTATATTGATTCTCTATGCATATGTGTGGGATATGAATTTAACACATTAATTTATATACTCTAATGTTAGTTCTAACCTTTACATCGATTTTTTTTGTTCTATACAAGTCATATACTACTAATTTTAACTCAAATACATCAATTTATATAATTCTATATATTTTTTTTTCCAAACTTAAAATGATGTCACATATCCACACTTTTTTTGAAGTTAGAAACATATCCCAAATCTTTTATGCAGCATTTACGTACATAATACTCGATTCTTATAAATTTGCATATATGACACTTAAACATTCATATTCCACTCAAGGAGCACATATAGATCTCTCTCCTTCTCCAAGTGAATATAATTCAAATTGAACTCCACCATAAACATTAGTATGGTGCAAATACCCTACTCCCACACTTCTCACATAAACAGCCAGCCAAATAAAAAATTGATAACGAGCTGCAATGTAAAAAAAAACCAAGCCAGCCAAATACAATTCAACCAGCCTAATGAGTCTAATAAATCAAATGTTCAACTAGCCTTCAATAGTAAGATGCAGCATCAAATGATTTCCCACTTTTAAAAATATTTTTTAGTACCCATAAGAATATAAGTAGATATTTAACCGATTGCATCCCCTAGAGAAAGAAAAAGAGAGAGGCATCCATACCCAAGCAAATACATGCCATATAGAACTCCATACCCAAGGTACACCAATTTTTGCCATAGCAGTAGGTTTTCCATACCCAAAAGTAATCAAATTACCCAAAAAAACCAATTAAAAAAAAAGAAATCTTGCGTGTAACTAGCATTAAAAATGCTAAAAATAATGGATTGTTTGAATCTTGTGCTTGAAGGCCATAACATCAACATATAAATGGAAGGAGAATGCCCATCCTGCTAATCATAGGGGATTAGTTCATCCCAATATAAGCTTGAAGCATTGTTCATATCTCAACTAAATGGGCTCAAGTCGTCAAATAATCCTCCATCGAATTAATATCTCAACTAGATGGCTTCTACAAGCCAACATAGGAATTCAAACATACAAAAAATGCCACAAAAAATGCAACATAGCCGTAGGCTTTCCATCTGTTTTTCCATGGCTTCTAAGAAATGAATTTCTCACAGATCCTAATTACCAAAAAAAATGATGATGCGAAATTTCCACTAAAATGCCACAAAAAAATCGACATTCAAACATGAAAAAATGAAAAACATCTCAAAATAAATCGAATCACATCTTAAGCATCATACTGCACGTAGAAAACTTTCCATTGTAAATCAGAAGACCCATTCTTATGCAATGCTTCACAGCCATTCATACACAGTGCTCCATTGTTATGGATTGCCAGAAAAGTGATGGTAAAAAATATACAGAGCACAACAATGAAAGATTGCAGAGAAGAGGAGGAAGAGAAAGGCAATAGACACGTGAGAGAGGCACAATGAGGTCGGGGAAGATGATCGAAGTTACCTAGGGCATGAGATGGGGTAGGGCGACAATGGGAGTAGGTAAGTAAAAGAAAAAATCAAAATGCTGTCCCGCAGGGATGAGGGCGCGGGCTGCGACATGTTATAGTGCAGCCACGTTCGGCGGGACACGCTCGAAACGTGCAGAAACTGTGGATAAGCCGCCCCAAACGCATCCTTAATCTCCAAAATCTGTCACTCCATTTGGAATAACTATTTAATGAAACATTCATTTCGGTGATGGATATAGCATTCCTATCACTCTTAGTTCAACCAATATTTCCTCCCCTGCCTCTACATCCTTTTTCTTTTAAAAATGTTGTCTGAACTTTCTATGCTATAAAAGCATTTTAGTTTTCTAATTTTATCTAAACAATATTATTTTTGTTGAACTCCTTTCACATTCTTTTTTGTCATGGATATTCACAGAAAACTAACTCTTATGCATAGGTGAAAAAGGATGGTTATCTACAAATAAGCCCCACTCGAAACTTGTGATTGCCTTCCTCTGATCAATAGTGTCATCATCTTGGGCACCACTCTTCCATTTTGCAGCACTTAGTGTCCAGCCACATTCTATCTTTACTTCATCTAATGTATCTCCTTTAGTTTGTAATTTGATATTTGGATATATCTAATAATCTCTTATAACTACTATAAGTAATAGAATGTCATATTTCTTGATCACTTTACTAGATACACCTGGCTTTATTGTTTTAAACAAAAACATAAGGTTCTCTCCATTTTCGTCCACTTTATAGCTTTGTTAGAAAATTTGTTTTGACCAAGTTTTTAGATCCGCCATGCAGAATGATGGCGATCATATAGCTCTCAAAATCTTTCTTGCCTCTGTTTGCATTGCTCGCCTCACTACACCTCTCACATCTAGAACATAATGATCCATCTTAACGTGGCCATTTTGTTAAAGCCGGTTGTATTCTACTTCATCATTTCTTTATGCTACTTACTTTTAAGTTGTGTTTTAAGTTTGACGCTTAACTCTTCATTTTACTTGATGCAGGAGAAGATGCAGAAGATATTTCTTTAAAGGTGAGAAGAAGGGAAAAATTGATAAGTTTCTCGAGAATTTACCGGGATACCCAGATAACATTAAATATGACGGAGAAGGTCAATATTGGATTGGGTTAAGTGCGGTAATTACTCATGCCTTTTCTTCTAGATTTTATATAACATAATTGATAAAAATTAATAAAGTATCTCAAACAAAAATAATTTAATTCATTAAAAATATAAGGTATTTCACACATATTCAAGATTAAATACTTTATTTCTAAGAGAGTCTTTTATTTGCAATGTTTGTTCATGGCCAACGCATTTTTTTTTTCAATACCATAGGGATAAGAAATTAGACTCAGTATATAAGGATTTAGGAATTAATTTTACGGGAAATTTACTGGTATATCACTCTTAATATTGATACTTGATATTGTTCTATTTAATTATTTATAATTGTTGGTATATATTTTTCTAAATTCTTAATAATATATTGATCTAATAATTGTGGATTACAAATATTTGATAGAATCCATTGGTTTACAATTAATTATATTAATAGATTGTGCGGTGCCAATAAATATTAAAATTTTTAGTAATATAGAAACAATATGTCTAAATTTTATGGATTGACATATTAAGGCTAATAAGCCAATGAGTACGTAAAAGTGATAATATCCTTAAGTTTCTTGTTGGTTTTTACAGTGAAGGTCCCAAGTTATGGGATCTGGTATTTAAGCATCCCATACTCTGAAAATTTGTGGTGATTCTTGCCAAGCTAGTGGGACTTCCACCAATGAAGGAAGGTGGTGTACTTAGTGTAAATTTGGAGGGAAGACTAACGGCTTTTTATTCATTTCAGGATTTGCCCTATGTCACTAGTGGACTAAAAGTGGGGAAGCATCTCTTCCTTGGCTCGCTTTCTGGCGGCTATATTCTCAGACTTGACCTAATCAAATTTGGAGCAGAATTATAATCATGAAAAAAAATAAAAAAAGTTCTGAATACTATGAATTGAGTTTCTTTCAAATTTTTAGCTTCTTTTAATCTGCAACATTGTAACATATTTTTTTTTTTTTTTTTTTTTTTTTTTGTACAGAAGAAATGCAAGGAAAGTTATAACTATGTATCTTAATTTTATCTCATATTGAATGGGCTAAGAAGTATGGTTAGGTTGTCAATTCTACGGGTTGAATTAATGAAAAGTTGTAATGTGCTTCATATACAAAAATTTTGTTTCTCAATACGTTGTTGCAGTGATTTCTTACTAGTTTTGTTTTTTTACTACTGCAATAATTGAATTGCAGCTAATTGTTCATTTGTATGTGTGGAGCAAATATTACGTGCAGAATTAGGATGTGTGGATTAGTGGTATTCTGATGGCATTGTGGTGGTATTGCCGAATCCGTGCCTATATCAATCATACATATTATTTTTTCATGTGCGTGTGTGTATAATTTGTGAGAGGAATAAGTTAATTTATTAGCTTAAAGCTTTCATCGTAATATCATTGTGCAAATCTTTTTGAGAAGAAAACCGTTTATGTTCTTACCACAAATCCTACCAGTAGTTCTTTATGAAGAATTCCTTTCTCTTTCAATGCTTAGGTGTCTGCAAATTGTTTTATTTCATATATTATTGAATTTCTATGTTAAAATTTGTATTAGAATAGTTGGGGATTGTTGACCTCAATTTTGAGGTCATTACCTTTTCCTAGGATCCTAGGATCTAGCTCTAGGAGTTCTTATTGACTATCTTAGAAAACTAGAATTGATACCCACCATTTTTAGAAATTTCAGCCACTTCTTATTTTTCCTGTGATATCTAGCATTTATAGCCCAAAATCATCGTCTTATGTACGAGCGGTTAAGGGCTATTACGTGAGGACTCAGGGAGAAATTCCCAATAGGATTTCAAGCCCTCGGAAAACATCGTCACGACTTTTTTGTCACATACACCCAAATGCACAAAATTCATAAAATTGCACGATGTCGGTCTTCAATTGAGCCCGGTCTAAAATTGAGCAAAAAGGCCGGGTGAAAATGCGAACTTCTTCGGATGACCTCCGATGACAAAATGGATTGCGCCAACGCGTCTGGGACACCAATTTTAGTAAGAAAGGACACCCATATTGTCATATTTTTTACACGAGAAAATTTGCACGCAAATCAATGAATTCACCAAAATGACCTCCGACGGCGAAACGGATCACGCCAGGGTGTTTGGAATGTCAAAAATACCTAGAAAAGACATCCGCATTCGATATGTTACGATGCACGAATAAAACACAAATTCAATTTTTATTTTTTTCAAAATATTAAATACTTTTTATAAAATTTACCCGTAAATTATAAATATGTTAAACCTATTCTCTATTCACCTAACCCGCGACATTCCTCTAGTCGCGTGTTTCTTTTCCCTTCTTCGACCGAGAGCTGCTCTAGCGTACCCTAACTCCCGCGACTTGTCTTTCAGGCATGGATCAATAGAGCGGCGCCATGGCTAGCCTAGCCCAGTTTTCCTCTCCCGCGTCTCCTTTGCCATTCGCGCACGCTCCTTGCCTTCCGAGCTCTGCTCGACTGTGCGGCTCGCCTGTTGACGTATGTCGCATGGTCGATCCCTTCTTCTTCTCGAGGTCACCTCCTCCTCCCTAAATGCAATCTTTCCTCTCCCGATGCCTCATTCGATCGCTCCAACAGAGGTAAAATGAACCCTTTCCCCTTTTCCCGTGGTTATAAAATCCCATTTGAAGGAAGGTCTAGGGTTGGCCGAAATTTCTGAGAGTGGGGAGGTGGTGCCAAAATCTCCTCTAATTTCATTCTTACTTATTCTTTTCATCCTCTGCGGCCTGAGGGTTGTTGAAAATTTCTGGAGAAAAAGGAGAGGAGTGGCTTTGGGGTGCTGTTGAAGAGCTTGCGTTCTTTTCTGCCCGAGATAATTTTTTCCTTCTTCTTTACTGTGGGAGATTTTAGGGGAGAAAGTTCTACAAACATCATATCTAAAATTTGATTTTCGTGTGTTGGGGTGTGGAGCATCCGTTGGTGGTTGTTTCTTAAGGCTTTCAAGAAGAAGGCTCTGTCAAAATTTTTGTTTGGCTAGCTTTTAGTGTGCTGGAAGTTTAAAGGATTTGTCGGTTACTCTTTTTTTGAAGTTTTAGGGAAGAAGATTTCTTTGGGAGGCACTTTATTGGATCTTTCTTACATTTTTTTTTGCTTTAAGTGGGCATTAAGAGGTATTTTTCTCCCCTCCTCTATTTTACACTATTTTGGATGGCATATAAAGGCATCTCCATTCTCTTATAAAAAGTATATGGAAGTGAAGCTTAGGCTTATTTTGAAATTTAAGCATGGATACTCACTAGAAATGGTGAAAACAAAGCATGTGTGGGCTGTCTTTGTTCTTCTTGCTTGAGATATTTGGAAGTATCGTAATGGTGGTTTTGAGATGAGATTTGCCCCTCTAGAAATGCATGTTAGAATGGGTTATCAAACTCCTTTATTACTCATGTTCAAAAATGAATGATTGGATCAAGCTTATCTATTTCATGCTACCTATCACTATATGAAACATATGTTGGAAATTTTCTCTGTTTTGCTGCTGCCTTGGTTTCAGTTTTGGTTATGCTGGATTAAATGTTAGCTGGAAAATTTTCTATGTTTCAGCACATTTTTGGAGGGCTCGGTCTTGGCCTCAAGATAGCTGGAAATTGCATTTTACTTAGCTTATTTGGTGTGTTCGGTTTGGCTCTTTTGGGACTGAACTCATGCTGGAATTCTTTTTTATGAAACACATGTTGGCACAATATCTTGAAATATGAGGTTTTAAGGAAAAATATTTTTTTAGTTGTTTCAACCCATTTGCTTGGGAACAGTTTTTGTCTCTTTGAGTTGCAAAACCTTCTCTGTTTTTATCATAGTTGGAAGGCTCGGTCTTGGCTTCATAATAGCTGAAAATGACATTTCATTTAGCTCACTTGTTGGGTTCAGCTTTAACTCTTTTTAAGATGGATTCTTGCAAGAGATATTTGCATTTGTTTTGCTCATATGTTGGGCTCGGTTTACCCATGTGTTGGGTTCATTTTGGGCTTCTTTTGAATCAAATTATAAATGGATTTTTTTTTGTCCTATTTTCCCCATATGGTTGGGCTCGGTTTGGCTCCTTTTAATATCATGTCTTGGCTGAAATCTTTGCTATTTTAGCCCTTTGATGGACCCTACTTTGTTCCTATGTTGGAAATCTTTTTTTTTGTAAGTTGGAAATTATATTTGGGGTCGATATCTAGTTTATCTTGCTGCCCCTTGATAGAATACATGCTGTAAATTATGTTTATGAGCTGGAGAAATGTATTTGGAGCTCATTTATTGCTTCTCTTGCTGCCCCTTGATAAAATACATGCTGGAAACTATGTTTATGAGCTAAGAAAAATGTGTTTGGGGTTCATATCTCGTTTATCTTGCTACCCTTTGTTCGAATGCATGATTGGAATGAAATTATCAAAGTTTCTATTGTTGATATTCATGTCTACAATAAATGCTTGAAAGATGTGCTCTGTTTGCCCCCTTTGGCAGGCTCGATTTACCCATGTATTGGGCTTGATTTAGCTTAAATTATGATTTGTTTTTCAACTCTTATATTTGGTTAGAATTTAATTTTCTTTTCATTTCCCTTGGATGTGGGTCTTTCCTTTTAGTTCTTTTATGATTAAAGATGTTTGGTTTGGGATCGGTTTTTCTTCCTCATTGTCCGTAGCCGCAAATGTTAATGTGGTGAATTTTTACCTTTACCGTGAAGGTCAGTTCATTGATTAGGTGAGCCATACTTGGAGCACTTTCTAGTGATATGTTTAGGAAACATTTTTAAAGTTTTATTCCCCACATTACAAAGCTTTATTCGTGAAGGTTTAAATTATATTTTGAGGCTTTTAAAACTATTTTTTGAGTTTGATTCGGTCATTTTGTTAACGAGTTTTAAACTCTTTTAGGCCGACGCACTTACGATTTTACTCTAGGATTTATGATTTGACTTTGTTTTAAAAGTGGACCGGCCTCTTCGCATTTGTTTTGTTTTTTTTAACTGTCAAGTTAAAAATGAGAATTTTCGATTTAATTATCTTCAGAAATGATTCATGGTCTTAAGGGAA